TTGTGCCGGTGGAAAAATTACAGAGAGTAAATTAGACTGTTATGACAAATAATTAAGGCAATATGTGACTTAGCTTTCTGTTTTGTGTTGTTTGTTTTGGAGTTGGCGTCTCACGCTGTCTCCTAGGCTGAGTGCAGTGGCACCATCATGACTCACTGCAGCCTCAAACTCCTTCCCTCTCAGCATCCTAAAGTGCCAGGATTGCAGGCATGAGCTACCATACCTGACCTTGCATTGAAAACTATTAAGTTGAAAGGCTCCTATTCCTCATAGCAGCACTAAAGAGAGATGAGGGATGAGTACATTGTTCCTTAAGATCAGGATTATGGAATTTTGAGAATGAGGCAAAACCAAAAATTTTATATATGAAGAACCTACAAATAAAATTTTATCTTCAGTTTCCCTTAAATATATGTCTCAATTGCATGCATAGTCTATACTGGAGTATGTTCTCAGCTTTTATGGGACCTTACGGAGCAGAGTGATCATATCTTGAATAAACATACAAATAATTATAGATACAACTTATGGTAAGTTCTATTCCTAATTAGAGTTCTAACTAGAAAAACAGTATTGCCCATTTAAGCATTTAACATAGTGGCTAAGAACATAGACTGGCTTTGAATCTCAGATCTGTTAGTAGTGACCTTAGATAACTTCCTTAGCTTTATACTCCTCAGTTTTCTTATGTGTAAAATGAATATAATACGAGTACTTACCTCATAGGGTAGTTATGTAAGTTAATATACATTAGACTTGTGACATAAATGTTTGTTATTATAATTATCTATAATACATGTAGAAAGAGCATTCGCTTAAAAATAGGCAGATAATTGTTGATGAAATATTATAAAATTTTTCTCATGGGAAAAAGCAAACAGATTAGGACCTCAAGTACACAATAATATAGTTGTAGAAAAGGAAAAAAAGAAGTATCAGAAAGGACATGCTAAATGCCTACTATTTTACCTTGAATTTATCAGAATGGTGAAATCTTTAATTCACCTTTCTAGCTACCCATACAAACCTACTCTTGTTAAATGAACAGAGACTGGCATACTAGAATCTTTGGTTTTGCAAAAAATGTGATAAGATATTGACAGCAAAATAGTAAATATTTTGCAAATATAAAATTCTAAAAGCATAGTCTCAGGAACAAAGATTTCAGGATATTCCTTTCTTCGTTACTGTCTGAAATCAAGAATGTAAATTTATCTCTCTATATATTATATATCTATCAATACATATTACTTAATGTTACCTTTCACATGAAATGTAATAAAATGTCAACAAATGAGTTTATATCTGTTAAGTACTGTGAACTACTCACAATAATATCAGTGTATTAGAAGAGCTGAATATCTGGAGCTTTGTTATTGCCTACCATAGAAGGAAGCTGATAGGGAGTCAGGAAGTGAATTCAAATAACAACTTGGAATGATTCTAACAATTTTACTAGTATGATTAAAGAATGAAGGATAAATGTCCAGTGGAGAGAGTAACCATTTCAGATAATCATTAATGGCATACATGAGAATTAGCAGAAAGGATCCAAGCTTCTTCAGAAGATACTGAAAAGAAAGAAGCAGTAAACCTCTTGGAAGTACAGAGTATGAAAATGACTATTGTCAGTTTTACTGAGAGAAAGAAACTAAAGACCAAAGGTAACAATGCAGAAGTAGGTAATCTTGATGGAAGGACTAACTGATATACAAAGAAATACATTATACTCCTCTATGAAGAATGAAGATAGCATTATAGAGATGGAAGTCATTGAGATAATTTAAGTGTTTTCCTCTTAGCTTCTCCACTTTTCCATAAGTTAGATTATAACAAATAATATAATATCCTTGCATGGAATAATCCTCAGGCTGAGACTTTATGGAAGGAAAAGATAGGTCAGTTCTGATCAGGAGGTGATTTTTCATGTGGTTTTGAAAATTGTTAAAATACCTTTTTACAAAATATAGGTATTTAAACTATTAGAAAATAATTGTTAGCGTTGAATATTGTCTAAATATAATGGAATCTTATATGTGTCTCTTGCTATGATTCAGTATTATGTCATGTAGGCAACCCCATTATAATGAGGTCACTTTAATAATAACTCCCTTGATGAGATTCAAAAGAATTCATATCATACCAATTTCCCACTATTGTTAAGCAGGATGTATATTTGGAAGTTTGGTTAATTATGTGATACTTTATTATGAGTACTATTTATGGGCCCGATTTGCTTCCCCTTTTATTCCCTCCCATTTTGCCATTTTCAGTACTTTCCCATATTGTACTCTGTCCCTTAAGGTGGGGCTGTTCTGTGAGGTAGATAGATGAATGAATATCGCCATCAGTAATAAATAATATTTGACTGCCTTTATATAATATTGAAAGCAAATGCTAGCATAAATGTACCTTCCCAAAAGGTACATCAGGGGTAATAGTATCAACAAGTAGTAACAGTAAGTTTCTTACCTTTGCTCAAACTTTAGTTATTAATTTTTTCCTGGTAAGTGTAAAATACCATAGGAAAGGAGTCAACAAATTTATTCTTGTTTTTTTTTTTTTTTTTGAGTTGGAGTTTCTCTCTGTCTCCCAGGCTGGAGTCAGTGGCATACTCACAGCCACCCCAGCGTCGACCTGCTGGGCTCTGGTGATCCTTCCGCCTCTGCCTTCCAAGTAGCTGGAACTATAGGCATGCGCTACCACGGCCGGCTAATTTTTGATGTACTGTAGAGACGAGGTCTCACCAAGTTGCCCGGCTGATCTCTAACCCGTGGCTCAGGCAATCCACTTGCCTCGGCCTCCCAAAGTGCTGGGATTACCGGCTGAACCTGGCCAGCAAATTTATTCTTTAAAGGACCAGATGGTAAATATTTTATTTTATTTTATTTTTTAGTTTTAGTTTTGTAGAGAAGTGTAGTTTTATTGAGTATACTGCAAAGCAGGACAGCGATAGAAGAGCTGTTTTGGTAAATATTTTAGACTTTATAAGCCATATGGTCTGTCACAACTACCTACTCTGCCAGACCTGTAGCACAAAGGCAGCCATAGATGATATAAATGATATGCTCCAGTAAAACTTTACTATGGATAAGGAATTTGATGTTTACATCATTTCTATATGTCATTAAATACTATTCTTTTGATTTTTTTTTTAATCATTTGAAAATAAAGTTTGACTGGGTTCATGCCTTTAATTCCAGTACTTGAGGTGGCTGAGGCGGGAGGATTGCTTGAGGCCAGGAGGTCAGGCCTGCAGTGAGCTATGATCATGCCCCTGTACTCCAACCTGTGTGACAGAATGAAACCTTGCCTCTAAAAATAAATAAATAAATAAATGTAAAGTTCATTCTTAGATTGCAAACCATATAAAAAAAAACAGGCAGTAGGCTATTACTAGTCCATTGCTGGGCCATTGCTGCCATTACCTTGCTAAGCTATGGCCAGGCCATGTTTACTGGCTTTGGCCCCCTTTCCTACCTTAGATAGGTAAATCTCCTCTTTTTCTCACTCTAATTCACTTTCTAAATAAACTGTATTTTCCAATCTTAAAAAAAAAAAACAGCAGTGGGCAGGATATGGCCCATGGCCATAGTGTGCCAACCCCTATTTTAGAACATTGTTATTCTATGGAGCATTAGCTTCTGTTAAGTCCAAAGCTCATTGAGTATGAGCTTTCAGAAGAATGCTCTGAAAATTTATATCGAAAAAGGAGAAGTTCCATACGAAAGTAGTGTTTCATGGACTCAAATATGTATTATACATATGCCAGACACAGGTCAAGATGGGGCTATAGCTATGAACAAAGAAGTCAAATGTCCCTGCCTTTTTGAAATTTACATTTAAGTGGAAGGACACAAATGTAAGAGAATAAGTAACACCTGTAGTATTGGAGTTCTATGAATAAAAATAAACCAGGGAAGGAGGATAGGCAGTCCAGGCAGGAAGGAGGGTTATAATTTTAAATAGGGCCATTTGTCAAGGCCTCGTTGATAGGGTAACATTTGAGCAAAGACCTAAAGGAGGAGAAGGAGAAAGCCTTGGACCGTGTAAAACCTGAATACCACACTTAGTGTAATGGAGCAGAGGCTTATATTTTAATAGGGAAACCAGTTGGAAGATTATTAAAATAATTCAGGCAACAATGATAGTGGCTTAGACTAATGATAGAGGTAAAAGTAGTGAGAAGTAGATTGTTGATATATTTTTAAAGGATAGGTAACAGATGGAATAAGAGAAAGAGAAAAGTCAAGTATAAGACCCAGGATTTGCCTTGGGCAATTGGAAGGATGGAGTTGCCATTTACTGGAATGGAGAAGACTGTGGGAAGAGTAGCTTTGAGGGGAGGATCAGGGATTTTACTTTGATTATGGAAACTTTAACTGCCTTTAGATACCCAAGTGGAGATGTTGAATTACAGTTAGGTATGTACATCTGGACTTCAGAGGAAAAGTCTAGGCTAGAAATGTTATTTGTAGAGTCATCAACACATATATGGAGTTAAATCCATGACAACTGATGAGATCACCAAGGTATTTACTGGTATTACTATTTATTTATTGTTATTAATGCCCCTGATTTCTTTACCATCCACTTTCAAAGAGGTAGGTAGTTTTTAGTGACCTATCCCCTCTACTCATTCACAAAGAGTAGAAGGGATCTCACTGATTCAGAAACCTGACCTATACAGGAAGTACCATTAGTTGACCATCCTCAAATTTTGCCATGGTGTAAACATGGGAGTGAATTTTCCCAAGTACCTCCTTGCTGGAAACTGTTTGCACTGGAGGTAAGTGTGAAAGGGGAGGTTGTGGGAAATGATGGGGGTGAGGGCTTCCTAAACCTTCCCCATTACCTCAGAAATGGTTTCATTCTGAGGAAGAGAGAAGGTTCAGGCTGGTTCCTATTTTCCTGAACCAGTTCATACAGCCCTAAATTTGACCTGCTTTCCTCAAACTGGGAGTCAGAAATCCCTTTTCTCTTCTGTTTTTCTGCTGCAGAAATTCCCAACATTCCCATTTTGTGGGCTCCAGAAAGGGGTAAGCGAAGACTTCAATCCCAGCCAATCATTTCCAGATTAATAATTTTTAGTGTAATGGTTTCTTTTATCATCATAAAAAAAATGCTTGGACTCATTTTTCCCATCTGTTTAATTTCTTTGTGGATTGTTATGTATCTATGTTCTAGGGTCATTCTGTATCCCTGGGCAGTAGAGTTCAGCTCCATCTGCTATTTCCATTTGTGTGCTATCCTCTTGTGGATTCTCATGCAGTTTATCGATTACTTTTTCTTAGATGGAAGACAACCAGTTCAGGGGACTGCTTCACTCTCGGTCTCATCTTTTCCTGAATGGTGTTTTATTCCTCTGCTGACAACTTGTCACTATCCTACCCAGCTGCTTCTGATGATCTCTCATTGTTTCTCTACTGTTCTGTCTTCTTGCTTGATTGCCTTTGGTTTTTGTCTCTACTTTTTTTTGCCTCACTTCACTCATCTGCTGAATGATTTGCATTCTTCACTCACTGGTGCTTTGTCCGTCAGCAAATGGCCTGGTCGTGCCATGTCCATCTGCTACTTTAGCATTTTAGACTGCCCAGCATTGTCTATCTGCTCTCCTACCATTCTCCCATCCTGTGGCCTACCAAGTGCTACACCATCTGCCTGCCTGATCTTGCCCTGCCCCGTCTATGGCTGTAATATTGTTAGTAGGTGCAGATTGTTTAGCACTTCTGCTATGTCTCCACTTGCCTTGTGCCATTGAGTTAGACTGCTGACTTGAGTTTGCTCAGCTATTGTCTCCTCTGCCTATTTGCTGCCTGTGGCTGCCTCATTAATTTACTTGAGACATTGCATTTATCTCCTGTGTACTTGCAACTTGCTTATTGGCCCATGTTGCCGCCTTTATGGTTCGCTGCATCTGATACATCACTGGTGTCGATTCTCTGTTGTCTTGTAACCCTGATCAGATTTTATAGCCAAGAAAAGTTTTGCCAATGTATTGTCCAAACATATCTTAGAAATAGGAAAATGCTTTGCTATTTAACAGCCCAGTCCAATTTTCTTCTAAAGTGACTTTTTAAACTCACTACCACCTGTCCTTTCTGCATTTTTGTACAATTCCATTCTTTTCTTTATTTAGGATTGTTTTTCTAAATCATCATCTTTGCTTCAGTTATCTTTTTGCATTGTATATTACATACATTTATTCCTTGTATATGGGATCTTTCATAATATTAAATTTATTTCCCCTAAATTTTCTAGGGTTTATGAGAACAAATTACTCCTATTAATTTTATCCTTTTTAGTAAAACCAGAAGAACTTTTGCAAACTTTAAAAACATCATCTCTAAAAATAATAAATATAATTAATTTTGTAGTTCAGATTAAAGTAGCCTTTTGCTCTGCTCCATTTTTTCCTGTGAGAATATTATTTCTCAGCTTCCCCATAGTTTATGTAATATCAGTTTTAGAGATCCTTTGGATATATTTATCTCTATCTTCTTTTAAGCTATCTTGTGTGTTGGGTAAACTTTTGAAATTAATATTTTTTCCATTATTGTGTTTGCAAATTTCTTGGCATCTAAAAATAACTTGCAATATAAAATTATCTGCACTGTAAAGTTTATAGTTGTATTCACCTATATTTAAATGAAAAATCAAACGCAAGAAGCAGAGAAGAATTTGGGTGAAATGTTCAAGAGTCTAAGAAAGAGATGTAAAGTGGGTGTGTATGTGTGCACATACATGTGTATATATAGATTTGAAGTCTTCTATGTATGTGCATATCTGCAACATCTTTGTGCCTGAAGTGTGGAAAATGCTGAGTATCTATATTAAATGTTATTTTATTTTAATCAAAAATTTAAAAAAGGAAAAATCTAAAGAGAGTGATAAATTAAGGGAATATGGAAAAAGCATAGATCTTTTTTAAAATTTTCTTTTAATAATAGAGATAAAATTAGTATGAAGAAAAGAATGCTCTAGGAAAGTCAAAACCATTCTGGTAGCTTTTTTTTATTGTGGTAAAACAAGTATAAAAATTGCCATTTTAGCCAATTTTAAGTATACAATTCAGTGGCATTGGTACATTCACAGTTTTGTGTAACCATACCACTATCTGTTTCCAGAATGTTTTTATCATCCCAAACAGAAACTCTGTACCCATTAAACAAAAACTCTCATTCCTCTTTCCTCTACTCTCTGATAAACTCTAATTGACTTTTTGTGTTTATGAGTTTGCCTATTCTAGGTACCACATATATGTGGAATCATAAAACTTTTGTCCTTCAGTGTTTGGGTTATTTCACTTAGCAAAATGTTTTCAAGGTTTATCCATGTAGTAGCATGTATCAGAATTTCATTCCTTTTAAAGACTGACTAATATTTCATTGTATGTATATGCCACAGTGTATTTATCACTTCGTCTGTTGGTAGACACTTGGGTGCTTTCACCTTTTAGCTGTTTCACCCTTTAGCTATTATGAATAATACTGCTATGAACATTGGTGTACAGGTGTCTGTTTTCCTTTTGTTATAGAACTAGAAGTGGATTAAATAGCTTTTAATACTTTTGTCTATTTAAGAAAAAGCTAAGTTAATGGCAAGGAGATTGGAGGAGCTACATTATTAACATGAAAGATGGCTAATACCAAGATATTGTATTAGGAGCAGAAGAAATTATAAACTTTTTGAAAGGCTAAAGAAGGCCAAGTGATAAAATTTAGAAGACCCTATATTCTGTGAATAAAGGGAAGAATGAATTTAAAATAACCAAAGGTCTTCGATGATTGTGGGACAGCAAAAATAATTCTGAAGAAAGTTAATTTTTTCTTTTTGAGTCAGAGTCTCACTCTGTCACCCAGGCTGGAGAGCAGTGGCATGCTCACAGCCACCCCAGCATTGACCTGCGGGGCTCAGGCGATCCTTCTGCCTTAGCCTTCCAAGTAGCCAGAACTAGAGGTGCGTGCTACAGGTGCCGACTAATTTATTTATATATTGAAGAGACGAGATCTCACCAAGTTGCCCAGGCTGGTCTCGAATCCCTAGGCTCAGGCAATCCTCTCTCCTCAGCCTCCCAAAGTGCTGGGATTACAGGCTTGAGCTATTGCACCTGATCAGGACCAACTAAGGACAGAATGATGACCTGTCATTGAAATGGAATAATATGAACTTTTTAAAGGGAGGAAGAAGGAGCCATTTGAAAGTCAAGGTTTAAATGAAAATGACTGAGATGAGGGAATCATGTCATATTTAGAGGACTCAGTAGTGGGAACAGAATTTCATTTCAGTTACAGGTCCTTCATCCTGTATACCCAACCTTGCACCTACAGATATTTTTTTCTAAAAAGATTCCCAAACTCCAAAGAAATTCTGTACCATAGGTTGGGAATATTGGTTAGGTAGTGTGCACACGTGTGTGTGTGTGTGTGTGTGTTTGTGTTTCTGTGTGTTTGTGTATGTGTGTTTTAATCCTCTGGTAAAACAAATGTGAGTTAAATTGAATTCTGTATCATGGTGTCCTAGAACTTATTGAAATTACAAAAGTTAAAAAGGGTTGGTTTTTATCTTCAAGTAGTTTAAAATGGGAGAAGTTAAAATAATAATGGATTCTGAAAAGAAAACTTTCAATTATTAGGTGATATGTTCCCATTTGTTAATTCAACTATTTGATGGTGATTTTTACATACCCTGTCTACCCTTTCTCAAGTAAAGGTTTCTCATCTAAACTATCAAACAAAATTATTCGAATGACTCTCAGTTCTCCAAAGTGTGGTACATCAACTAGTACCATTCTAGATGCATAGGAGAGAGGATAATTGGCCATGTACAATAATTCTCTTAGAACCTATTAAGAAAGGCTGTGCTATAACATGTAGTCTGCTAGGAATATGTGACATGAAGATAGAAGGACTTGCTTCCAAGGAACTTACATTCCAGGAGAGGGAAAAAGGCATTTAACAAAAAGTGCATTTCTAATATCATCCACGAGATGCTATTCTTCTTATCTAATTATTTGAGGAAAATGTTCAAAGTTAAAGTGGTTGTATATAAGAAAACTCTGTCACTTCTTGTATTATTAACTCAGGAATAAGAATGTCTTCTGTATTAAAACCTTATCAAGCTGAAGGATACTGCTAATAGGAAGAAATGCCAATAAGAATCTCTTTAATGCTAAAGCTCAAAGCATTCAGTGACAGATTCGTGATTTCACTGGTAGCTATTAATAAACAGCATTACCTAAAACCAGGCTTATTAGCTGTATAGTGGAAGAGTAGAAATAGAGATAAGCAGATAACAGAAGTTGTATAGTGGAATAGAGATAAGCAGATAACAGAAGTTGTATAGTGGAAGAGTAGAAATAGAGATAAGCAGATACAGTGTCCAGGAGGTTGTTCTTGAATGTGATTGCAAGCACAGTGAGGAATTTCTTCCCCCTGAGGTACAACTCATACCAATGTTGGAAATGTTCAGGAATTTAATTTATTCTCACTATCAACTAAAACTCACTAGAATTTCTTTTGTCACAGTTTCAATCATATTCATTAGTTTGCCTCACAGATTTTGATTAACTAGTCATCTAAACTAGGTTTTTATTTGTCTTCTCTGTGTTGATGTGTGCCTTCATACTTGAGCAGTTAGCTTTCATTCCTGCTGCTCAGTACACTGATTCCTTTAAGGCTGCACTTAGGATAGTTTTTGTAACCCATTTTTCCTTTGTACTCCTGATATTCTACTAATGGCACAGGTATGGGAAGATCAAGGTTTTCATGTCAAGAGGAAAGCACTAAAATAGAAATTACATCCAGATTTAGCTTGTTTTCTTAACAATAATGAATAATTTTTAAAGATTTTGCTTTGCCTATATTCATACTAAAAAGCATTTTTAAAGCAAACAAAGCAGATTGTGCAGTTCTTTTGAAGACCTGAAATAAAGGAAAATATGGGTAACATCATTTTATTAAACTCATTTTATTTATAATAAATATATATTTTCTTTTCTTGTGTTCTCTGAACTGTTTTTACTAAATAGAGTTGTAAG